TCCTTAATGATCTCCATGACCTTTGTCGTCCTTTGGAAGGCGTTACAACAAATCCGGTTCTGACGCCAGCAGTTTTCGACTCTCAACTGTTTGAGGGCGCAGATCCAACGCGCTTGCTGTGGAATGGAAGGGAGGTCTGTCACAAGCATATTCCCTGCCTGTGTCTTCGCTGCGGGCTGCCGGAGTTGCAAGCCCCGGTGCTCTTACACCCCGTGGGTGACGGTCTTGTTGGCGCGTAGCCTTCTTGAGTGAGGCAGGCGCTGTCCCTGCCTTGGCGGTATTCCAGAGCCGTTGTGATACTGAGAAACTAAAAGTGTTCCGTCATGAAGGCCTGATCTTCCACGGATGTACTGGTTGTGTAGTGTTGACTGACTGTGCAGCGAGCAACGCTGTTGCCAATCCACCAAATGTGTCTGGTCGAAGCCCACTTGTCTTGCTTCTTGATGGCGCTTGTTTTGGTTCCAAAGAAGCCGGCGCGCAGGCTCGAAACCGAAATTGGCCGACACTTATGCAATGATGCTGGAGGTGAAGCTCCTTCAACTCACTTGGTTGTGACAATCTCTTCTGGGTTCTGCCTAAAGCAAGCGGAGGCGCCATCGCCGCCAGTAACTTTGACCAACCCCGCAGACGAGGACAACGATAAAAGCTCGAACATCTTGAGCAAGAAGAAGCAACTCTGCCGGTTGGAGGAAGCCAAATAATCAATCATCTAAATTCTCACCCCCCAGAAGTGAACCTGCCTGTCACTCCCAACAATCCAGTAGTCTGACAGTTGGGATGAACTTTTCCCTCACGCGTCGGGCTGGAAGTTCACAGAGAACCATGAGATATACTGACCAAGAAGACGGTGAGACCGAAGAGTCTTAAGAGTGTCATGACAGCTCATCAGAAGATATGTGCCAACGCCGGACCATCACAGTTCTGAGAGACATGGAAGGAAATTTTGTTTGCTGAAGCAAAGTCAGGTACGGCTTCTCTCATCAGATTTATACCAACAAGAATCACGCGCGTCGATTCTGCAAGCGCGTGACACGTCTAGTCTCGCACTCATCCAGGCAAGAACCCTAAGCTTCCTAGCAGCAAGGTTTTCAGGCTGGCAGCCTAAAATTTACAATCTAGCTCGCTAGAAGTCGAAAATGCAAGTCAGAATTTTGTGCTGCCAGCCTAAAACTCAAGCTGGCCGCCTAACATTTACACTGCTATCTGAGGGCTGCCATCCTAAATTTCAATCTTCTAGCTCGAAAACTAGCTTCCAGCATTTTTGCAAAAAACAAGCTTCTAGAACACAACAAATCTGTCTTCTAAAGCTAGCTTCTGGAAGTGTGAATTTCTGGCTTCTAGAAGTCAACTTTTCAGAGCCCTTTCTGCTCAAAAACAAAGAGCAGTTGCACGAGGCAAGCCAACAAGCAAACATATACATGTGAGAAGGCGGACAAACAGCATACACAGCAGCAAGCTGCTATTACAAGCAGCATGTCTGAGTTGCCATGCTGCCTCTGAAAAAGCGCGAAATGAATTTGCAGGAGCTTGGCAAGATGCTGAAAAAGCCTGCTGAAGGCTCAGCAGACAAAGGGCTGCACCATAGTTTGGTGGCTTTAATTATAGGATGCATTCCAGATTGCAAACCTGAAGATTTTCTACCTGAGCCTGAGCCTGAGGAAGGCTGCAAGAGGCTTCACACCTTCTTAGGCTTGTAGTTCCCTGCCACCAACAATAAGGTGGACTGTGAAAGGAAGGCGGTTGCAGAAGTATGGAAGAGGCTGCAGGTGGCAGAGGTCAAGTCAATTGTCAATAACATACGTGCTTACAGGCAATGGCTGCTGAAGAAACACAGGAACTTGAAAACAGGTGAGCGGCAAGATTGCCCGTTCTGGAGAAATTGAGCCTGCCGCAAGGCTGAGAAAGAAGACAACCTCGACGCACCCCTTAACTCCAAAGGCAAAGCCTGCAAAGGCTGTGGCATGCTGTTCTTGACCCCTGGAATGAAGTGAAACTTCTCCAAGTGCAAAATCTGTTCTTTCCATTTCAAGCGGCGAACTAGTGCCTGCAAAACTCATGTCTCCAAAGAAGAAGGCAGCGCCTGCAAAGGCTGCGTGTAAGAAGCCTGCCAGCCAAGGAAGGCTTAAAAGGCCAGCCGCTGATGGGCCCGCAAACGCCAAGACTAACAAGAGGCTTTGGGAAATGTGCACGAAACCAGGGCTAGCCAGAAAGCTTATATCAGAGCCAAGCCAGAAATGGCTGCGAACGCGTACTGCTTGGTGAATGTCAATCTCCCTACAGGCCAGAAGCAGGATGAAGTCATGGATGCGCTTGTCAAGAAAGCACTGGAGCCTGGATGGACCAAGGAAAGTCTGCTTGCTGAGAAATGCAAATTGCTTAAAGCTGGAAACGGCTGAGATATGTGAGCCTGAACAAGGCTGCGCTAAGATCGCAAAAGCGTCACATTGCAAAAAAAAGAAAAAGCATGCGCGTCAATTCAGGGAGCATCCCGAAAACAAATTACAATTTTCTGAGGTGGGAGAGATAAACTCAACCCCCTGTTCTTGCTTTTACGGCTCAAGCCAAAACGGTTGCAAAAAACGAGTTTCACGCAAATGGTTGAACAGAGCATGTGTCCCCATCATTAAAAAGCAACACCTCACACGCCACCATCGCAGGCACACACACACAGACTCACGCACCACGCCTTTAGGTCCTCCTCCACCACCATGACTGCGCACATGAGCCTGTGGAAGGCTGTGGCCATCATTTTGATGAGCCTGGAAAGGCTGCCCACTTTGAATGGTGGAACGTGCGGTTCCTGAATGGCTACTACTATCACATTGACCATGCCAGCCAATGGCAAGCCCTCCTGGAGCCTTGGGAGGTGGAGAGCCTGAAAGAGGCTATGGATTGTGACCTTGAAATGTACAATTACGCTGGGCATGGGCTAGAGCTTGCGCAAGGCTTGGATTTGGACTTGCTCTACTGGAGGCTGCGAGAAAATCAGAGGCGAAAAGAACAAGCCAGCCTGAAAAACCAAGCCCTGAAAGATGAAGCCTGTAAAGGCTGGGAGGGCTGGCAGAGCCATTGGTGGCAGGAGCCGTGGCAGGAGGCTGGGGTCCAGCGCGAAAGACCGCGCCGTTTTGTCCTCATGTTGCATCTTGGATCCATACATACTCGATGTCCTCCGTGGAAGCCCATCCTTCCAGGGCATGTGTAAATTATCTTCGTAGCAAGATCTCGAACTTGGAGCTGGAAATGAGAAACTGTGTGTTGCGTCTCCTCGGTTTGAAGAAGCTGCGGAGTCGACAAAGACACACGCTCTTTGCTCCTTTCAGGAAGCACCTGAAGTAGTTGACCTTTCCGGTTGTATCTTGGAGCAAAGTGTATCAAGCAGCTCGCGGTGCCGCCAGGTCTGAAGCCTTCTCCATCTGACAACAGCTTATCCTACCATTTAAAAGGCCAGTGTGGTAGCCATCTCTGTGGTAGAAAAAACCTGACGCCTTGCGACCCCCGCCCGTCCAGTCACTTGCGACCCTTGTTCGGTCACTTGCAACCCGAAATCGGTTCACCTGCAACCTGTGAGTCAGGTCTGGGAGGTGTTTGGGGGGGCAGGGTGGGGGCCCACCGATGAGGGAGGGATGGTGACGTTGGGGGTTGGCGCGAGAGGGTATGCTTGAGGATTGGCAACACATGTTATGTTGGACACTCCAGCACTGGTGGGTGGGGGAATGGTCACGTTTGCTATCACTGCACTGCGCGCGTACCCGCTCGTTGGGTGGGCTACCACCTACTCACACGCACCTGAACGGTTGTGGGCCCCCCAGGCACACGTATGGGTGTGCGCACCAAGTTCTCTTTGCTTTCTCTGCTGGTGCGCTATAAGCTATGGAGCTAGTCTACCTCTGCAATGAAGGCCTCTCCCACTACAAGCGTAAACACATCAATGTCCCTTCGTAGCTTCTGCAAGTTCTGATGGGCAAGCTTGGCACCGCGCTTCGACACAAATTATCCTGTCAACTTCTTGTGCTCTACGCTGTGTTTTGACGCCGCTGCGCGTGAGGCTACGCGTGATGTTGCGTATGTTGCTCCGCAGGCATGATGTTGCAGATGATGCTGCGCGTGACGTTGCGCACGACGCCGTGCGTGATGCTGCGCATGATGCTGCGCGTGACGGTCCCTCTCGCGCGTGATTGGATGCGCAGGTGGGTGGGTCCGTCAACCCGCGAGTGCGTGGGTGTTTCGGCAGCTGTGTGGGCGTGCGGGCGCGTTGGTGACTGGGTGCCTGGGTGCAAAGGTGCGCGGGTGCGTGCATCAAAAGCGTGAAACTACGGCAGGTCACAAGCGACCCCGCGACCAAGGATGAGTTGCACCCTGGTAATGCATTGTTGGTGTTTCACACGTGAAGCAAAATGCAGCGAGCCCGTTCCACCCCAGCGCAACGAGTTCAATTCTATTAGAAGGGGGCCACAATGCTACATGTGTGAAAAGTCATAAGGGCAATGGCCGGCTAAGCAGAGAAAGCCGAGCCAACGAACCACAAAAAGAACGCGCAGGAACAACTACAAAACACGCACGCGCCTGCTCGCTGCTCGCAAGTAGGAAGCGCGTACCGTGTCCCATGTGTCAAACACCGTCGCAATTGTCTTACGCGCGTCTCACGACGTGTCTGCCTCCGGTGTGTGAAACATGTTTCGCGCGTGTTTCACATCTTGCCTGACCACAATTGGATTTCAGACTACCCGCAACTCTCTTGCGTGAATCGCGGTTGTCTTACGCGCAACTCATTCACGTCTCAAGTGTGTCTTACGCGTGTCTCCAGCTGTGAGCCAAATCAAAAAACGCGCTGGTTCACTATGTCGCGACGCTGCTACGCGCGCTTCACGCAACCCATGTGTTGGCAAACGCGGCGTGGGCCTTACGCAACCCTTGCGCCTGGAACACCGCCTGCCATTAACAGTGGAAAGACAGCTTCAGCACGTCTTGCGCAGGTTTCACACACATCCACTCTCGCGATACTACGTCTCGCTGTCCCTCCGGCTCACACACACCTCCTGCATGTCTTCGAGCACGGTCTCCACCACCTCAGCCCAAGCACCTATCAGCCGTCGGCAAAACACTTCAGACTGTGAGGCCAGCACGACGCCAAGCTCTGCCAGGACCCGCTCGATGGAATCCACACCTCCATTGACTCTTGACCATTGAGGGAGGCAACAATGCCACGCCACACGCTTCCAAGCGCCAGGCTCATGTCACAACCGCCCCATTCTGCGAGGCCCTGAACCTGCTTCACGCATTCTTTGTCTTTGTACCTTCAGCATGTTCACCCTTTCTCGACTGAACTCTTTCTCACGCGTTCTGCTTTCCAGAGACATCGCTGAGGGAAGAGCATGATGACTGTTGGAGTCAAGTGGTCTGGAAAGTCTTCTATAATCTGCAAACAAACAGAAGAGAGAAGACAGGACAACAGCATTGCACTCAGGCCTCAGACGCAACCCCCTTCATGAACTTTATGTTGGGGAAGCGCCGGGCAGCCTCGGCCCAGGGCCTCCCAAGCTGTGAGGCATTCGCCAACCCTGGCAGCTGGACGTCCTCATCATCGGATGGCATTGGATGGCATCTGTGTAGAGCAACACCAGCACCCATTGCCCTGAAAGGCTCCAAGGCTTTGTGTAGGTGAAGACACGCCGAGCCATTTGAGTTCGTCGACCACCAAACACAAGTGTCCTCTGAGACGCATGACATAGCATTAGCTGATGATCTGTGCGTGAACCCAACAAAGCAATTCAAGCAGGATCTAGACGCGGGCTGTCTATTGACCATCAAAAACAAACCATTGACCAAAGAAGTTTAACGGGAAACTGAGCGGGGTGCGGCCAATAAGTAAAAGCAAGCTAGAAGAATCTGCACGCGCAAAAAACAAGGTGGGGGTGGGGAAAAAGACCAGAAAGTGAAATCTTTGAGATGGTCGAAAGCCTGATCGCCGCCTGTCAGCTTTCAGAGTGCTCTCCGGCGCGCTTGGAGAAACATTGGTTTGCGCGGCAGGCGCGGCACTTTCGCAAGGCGCGGCGTTTGCTGGCGCCGAGCACAGAAATAGCCAGATCCTGGATGAGGTCCAGCCAGCAAGGAAAAGCCTACAGCAATTCCCAAGGAGGGGTCGCCGTAAACAGCTCACGTGTCAACACGCCGCTTTTGGCTCTTTGCGACAATCCGGCGCCGAACATCGTGCTTGCGGGCGTCACCTGTGCACACACACACGTCCCTGCTTCAATTCTGCAGAACGTCCTTGCGATCAACTTGTCGTAGAGGCCGACGCTCTTAATCCTTATTCCCCGAGCTCGTTGAGGGAGTTGTTCACTGAACTTGGCGACATTCAACAGGCCCTGGTGAGGGCGCAGCTTGGAGGTTGCACTAAGGTATGGTTACAGAGACGCGAGCCACGGCTGGATGGAGGACTGGCATAAGCTTCCATGTGGAGAGGGACGCGCAACTGGCTTTGCAAATCCTGCCTTATTGCGCGACGCGACAGCAAATTGACGAGGAGCAGTTCATGGCGGTGACTTTGTTCCAAGCATGTGCTGGGATTGGAACAAAGTATAGTGGCCATCAAATGGTTTCTCAAGAAAGGGTAAATTGTCGGAGAAGGTGAAGATGGCCTTACCTTTCCACCAGGTTCATTATTGGTTTGTTTGCCTGGGTAGGTCTGCTTGACCTTCTGATGGCGTGAACCATGTGTTCCGAGCGATGCGAAGACAACTGAGCTGCTTGTTCTTCTTGCCAAGTCCTGTTTCTGAGATTCGACTATCTTCGGGGTTGCCGTGTCCTTCTTTGTCTCGGGTGGCCTGGGTGCGCAAACAACTTCATCCTTTGGTGAGCTCGACGCTGTCATCGTCGTCATAGACATAGTTGTTGAGGCCCTTACCAGCAATTTTGATGTTGCCACACAAAGTCCAGTTGACCTTGGCTGTCTCTCTGTTGGCACAAAAGGAACTTGGTCTTAGGTTCTTCGTTGGTTTGATGGCCTGTGTAAAACGCTGGATTGCGCGCCAGCTGCCCATGGACCTGGCGCATCCATTGTCCAGGGTTGCGTAGGTTCAGGCGCGGTTGCAAAAAGGCTGTCATTGGTGGTGACTGTTGCGTGCAGAAACTGTAACGACTTCGTTCTCATCATCGCGTGTCCTGCACTATATCTCATTGGATGAGTACCAGCCTGCTTCACTCCAGTTCCATGATTGGGGCATGGATGGTCAGCAATCAGGATGCCTGGTTGGAGGAAGCATAGTCTTCGTTGGCCATGTTGGCCTTCCCGCCGGACGCGCTCTTGCAAAAGGCTTGAAGCCACAGCTCGTCGGCGACTGCCCCTTTTGCTTCTTGATTTCCTTGCCTTTTCTTGTTCCAGATCTGAAATTGTCGCCCTGACACTTTCTGGCAATGAACGCGTTCTTTCCTTTCCGAGAACCCGGAATGTCTCTTCAACTTCAGTTGCCATGACCTTCGCATCCTTCTTCATCCTCAATCCAGAAAAGGCTTCTGTTAGAATGAAGAAGGTGTTGCTGCGGTTGCCTCTTGGCGGTTGGACGGATCTTGGATGGATGTTCTGGTCGTGACGCAGAGATCATAATACTGTGTCTTCAGCATCTTGTAGGAGTAGTGATCGAGTGAGATGTTCCTCAAAACTCACTCTCGGCGACAAAGAATTGTGTCTTGCTTGCGCGTCGTTAATGCACTGCTGTCTCAATACTTCTGGATCATCTGCGGCAAGTAGAACTGGAGGCAGCTGCAAGAAGCGCCGTACACACGTTCATCAGGCGATTCCAGGATGCCTGGCGGGATCTTGAAGCAACTCTTGTCAAGGTTGCGCGTTGTCGGCATCTCCCACGAGCCTGCCTTTGAGGAGAGGTTTTCTCTTGGACGTTTGAATTGTGGCGAATGTCGTCCAATCATCCACAAGTTCCTCGTAGCTGACTTTTCCGCCGTACGACGGCGGCAGTTTGGCAGTCATCGGGGTCTCTTCAGTGAAGTAGGCCGGCCACGGATCTGTATCAGATCCAACGATCTATGAGTTGTACGACTAAGACAGGCCTTGGGCCGAGATGGTTGGTTTACTGCGAAGCAAAGAAAACAGCCAGCGATTTTCAATGGAAAGCAAACCCCAGGCGACTCCCAACGCGCAACTGGCCAAGCTGCTACGAACACGTCAAGAAAATCTGCACACTGGCCAACCAACGCTAAAGCATAGTTTGGGCACAAGAGCCAAAGCGCTGGCTGATCACAAAGGGGTCTGAAGCGAGCCCTTCTGAATCAGCCGAAACAACGTGACACTTTCTCTGGAAACACGCCAAGCGCACACTCGTGGCCGGTCGGGCCTCCTGCGCTGGCATCGGTGACTTCCCGGACATAGCTGGCTCGGCAAAGCTGGCGCAGCTCGCCGAATTGGGCCGCGGCCCGAGCTTTCAGCTCAGCCTTGAAAATGCAATGCGTCGATTATGCCAAGCGCCGCCAAGTATCGCATCGCGTTTTAGAAAGCGCCCCTATTTTCAGGAGCTGATCGCGCGAGACCACTGCCATGTGAGACGTCTAAGGCGCTCCTGCAGCAGCAATTGAGACTGCTATCCAAAGAGCCAGAGCGGCGCCAGCGCAAACCTATGGCGTTTGGTTCTTCCCAACAACGCAGGCTCAACGCCACAACCCTTCCCTGCCTGACAGTTTCCTGACGGCTTTCCCAACGCTGGGCCTTACGTCAATCAAACTCGTCTCACGCTGAGCGCTGGGAGCCTGCCTTCATCAAACGCCTGAAAGCGGCCCGCAGCCTGCAGATCTTTCACAAGCACATGCGACTGGAGCTGAAATAGTTTGACATAGTCGGAACAAACCAGGTAGCTTTGATTCAACCAGACACGGCAGCTGCAAGGGAAAAACTTAAGGAACACCTGTAGAATTAGCTTCATATTTGTCACCCCCTCCCTTTAAGAAGGCGGTCCTGGCGCCCCCCTCTAATACTTAGCAATTCACAACTCAGAAAATGTGAAAAATCAAAGCAACACAAAACACCCCCGGAGCTGCTGCTAACAAATTTTCTCCATTGCTTCTTGAGCTCAGTTCAAGACAAATGGCTGGACATGTTTTTCATACGGGCAATTCACACGCTCTGCAGATTTGGCCCTTCCTAATCTCTTGCAGTCTCCCATCTGCACCCTCCTCTTATGGATGCTTTGGCGCCTGCCCAAGCCACAAAAAGATCTGGTTTGTTCAGTCCCTTACTCGAAATGAAAGTTTAGAAGGTTTCAAGGGGTGCCCCGCAGGAGCCCCCTTGCACTCCCAAAACTGGGTAGAAACCCACACTGCAAAACGCCATCCTGTCGTTGACCGTGTCAGTGCCATGTCATTGCCATCAGCCATGAAGCGGCTCAGATCTCAGATGATGTTTAGCTTGTCGTGCTGCCCAAGAGATCAGACGCTTGAAGGAGCTGCTGAAAAGTTCGGGTGGCAAAACTTCCGGCAAGCCAGGTCGAGAAGCTCGGGCATGAAAGAGTGGTTGGAAGCAGGCAGCGCACAAGGCGCCAGAGTAGGCCCCTTGCAGGGTGCGGAGGCAAGTGGCTGAGATATCTGAAAGCCAGCAGCGGGTTTGGGTGGAGGATGCAGCTTCCTTGGAGAGCATGGCGGGCTTTGCAGAGCTTGCTTCTGTCACAAGCCGCGGAGGTGCCTGACTTGCGGCGGGGGTCCTTGTGCGATCAAGACCCACGGCAAGAACGGAGTACATTCAGGCGCGGTGTGCTCTACGAGCCTGCCCCTACAACAACGCGGCGCAGTACGGCCTCTTCCGGGGCTTGGGGAGCTCCTGAAGACGGTGCAGGCGACTGTGCAGGCTGGCGCCAGTGAAGCGCCTTAGCGTCATCTCGACCTTGCTCAGCGTGGAGAGCAAAGCAGGTGAGGCATCTTCGAAACAAGTGGAGCTCAGCGGAGATCTGGAAGGAGACGCCAAATCGTCTTCGAGGGGTACATCAAGAGGGCCTCCGTGCGGCTGCGGCTTCTTCATCCTCCTGGCCAGCCTGGCGTAGAGTACAGCAGAAAGGGACAGAAGCTCCTTCATCCTCATCACCGTCATGTCCACCCGAATTGTGAGCTTGTGGCATCCTGATGCCCAAGGATCAGCGCATCCATGCGTGCCTCATATAGTTGCTTGGTCCCAGAGCCACCCTCTGGTAGGTCTGGTAGGCAAGGCTCTCCTCATTGACCGGGTACTCCGCCTCAAGAGGAAAAACAAAGAGGTCCTCGGCTTCGGCTTGGACTTGCCCTTCTGGTTCCTCATGAACGTATTGGTCACTCGTGGATTATTCCTGTAAGGCGCTCTGCTGCTCTAATGGCTGCAGAATGAGGACTGAGTTACCTATTATACAAGAGGGGCCTTGAGCCAAAATGGTAATGGATGTTACAGGGTCAACATGCGAAGCAAAAGCAACACAAAACAGACACAATTTCTTTTGACCCTGAACACCAAAATTGCATTCTTGGCTTCATGGCCTTCAGCCGTAGCCATTGGATATGGTGCGCTTGCCGTAGCCATAGTTAAATTGAATCATCCTTTTTCTTGCGCGGATGAACTGTCTTGTTGGCAAAATGGCTTTGTACTGGATGGATGAGACACCTAGTTGCATCTAAAACGGAAATGTGCAAGACACTTTGTACACGCGGGATGGTGTGAAACTATTGGTCACTCACTGGCATATATTCTTGATGTGCAGGAGGATCAATTGATTGTGAATGCTCTCAGCGTGGATTCTGATAGCTTCTCATTGCAATCATAGTATCTCATCATTTCTGCGGGTACCAACAATAGCCGCTGTCGGATTGGCTTCCATAGTCTCCGCCATAATCCTTCCATCCCTGATAGCGAGAGTGCTTCCATCCTTGCTTGTAGGATTGGTCCTGCTGCTTCCATGTGGTCTCCTTATCCTTCTTGTTCTGGATGCACTCCTTCTTGCGCCTGAGATTTCTTTCTTGATCAGCTGCAAGGCTGCGGACATGGACCAGCAATGGGGTGTGAGAATCTGAATCGCATTGCCCTAGCATTAGCATCTCATTATTGATTGACAGAGGCGGTCTGCATAAACACCTGTTTTCACATTTTGGGTCCAAACGGGCTTAAAACCCCGGACAACCCCCCGGACAAACCCCCGGACAACCCTCCGGACAGCTTTGAGGGCCCAAAATCGGCGGGACAACTCTCCGGACAAACCCCCGGGACAACCCTCCGGACAGCTTTGAGGGCCCAAAAGTCCGGGACAAACCCCCGGACAAATTTTCGGACAACCCTCCGGACAGCTTTGAGGGTCCAAAAGCGCGGGACAAGCCCCCGGGCAAACTCCCGGACAACCCTCCGGACAGGTTTGAGGGCCCAAAAAACCCGGAACAAACCCCCAGACAAGTCTTCGGACAGGTTTGGAACACTCCAAAACCACTTGGAAACCACTCGGAAACCACTCGGAAACCGCTCGGAAACCACTCGGAACCCGCTCAAAACCACTCGGAAACCACTCGGAGGGAAGTATTCTCGCGGGAGGGGGGGTTTGCAGCATAAATCTCGGCAAAGTGCGTGGACAACCAGCCGGACAACCCTCCGGACAACCCCCCGGACAACTTGCCGGACAGTTGTTTGTCCAGCAGTTTGTCCGCACTTTGTCCGGCACTTTGTCCCGCACGCTGTCCCGCATATCGAGGGCGGTGTTTATGCAGAAGGGCATTCGTCAAATTATTGATGTGCTTGTAGCGCTCGGCGGATGTGACCTTGTAGTCGGAGATGGCCTTGTCAAAATCGTCAGTCGTGGATTCCAACGTCTCTTGATTGAGTCTGGCAATCTCGGAATGACGAAATTCTTGTTGGATGTTGGTCTTTCCCCAACTGAATACGAAAGTCATCATACAATCTGGAAACGTCCGGTCGTATCCTGAACCTGTCTTCGTATGAAGATGATGGCGAGCAACGGATTTGATTGTGCGTGAAGTAGACATGGAAAAATCCATTCGGTTCGCTAACGGCATATCTTGTGTCTCATTCCAAGTTCTCTTGAAATTCTCCATGATGTAGTGCATGAGGCGGTTTTCAGGATTGTAGACAGATTGCAGCTTGCCGAACGTGTTCGCGGATTTGTTGGCATCACATGTGATCATATCGCATTGGTATTCCGTAACACGCGGCGTGATACCTTTCTGCATGTCTTCTCTTGCTGCACCGTGGCTGATGTTCGGATGGATAGATATGGAATACTCCGATGGTGGCAAATGCAAAATCAGCTCGGGTAACATGGCGTGCGTCGTAGGATAGAACAGGATCTTGGGTGGATCTCGGAAGTGCTCCACGGATCTCATTATTCTGCTGATTATGGATGACGACAATCTCACAGTTCTTGCCATGCCATTCAACGGCCGTGCGCAGTGGCAATCTCTTTCCAACGTACTTCTCCTTGTTGTCGTACATGGGTGTTCCGGTGGATGGCAGGCAGTCGGATGTGGGAGTATCGTAGTGCGGATCAACGCAACCTTCCTCGAGTCCGAAGAAGCATCTGAACATGCCGAATGTGGTACTCCAACATTGGCTCTTGGTTGAAATTTATCGTGCCAATAATTCGGCTCTGGCGTGCTTATTGCCTCGGACAAAGCATGCGATGGACTTGTAGCTTGAGAACGATGCCCTTGCATCCGTCATCAAGTGAACAGTTTGATGAGGTCGATGGTCTTTTCATCATTCGGGTAGTAGAACGGATCTGCCTCATTGATGCAAAGGATGTTTGCACTGTTCTGCACCATCTGCATGAGATGTTGAGTGAACTGGTGGATGGATAATCTTTTCCCTTGAGGTAGTCGACAATGGGGCCATCAGTTCCTTGCATCAAAGATCCCCGGATGTCCGCGAATGACTTGATGAGATCAGTTCATCGTGGTTCTTCAACTTCTTGAGTACGATTGGAAGTCTGAGTGGATACCCCGAAGGGTCCTGTGCTGCTCTGAACTCTTCCATGGTCGGATGTGCACTCGCGTGCTCAAAATAGAACTCTTCGTCCTCGATGTTCTCATCTGGATTCACGTGTGCCCAAGACCTCAGTTTGCAATCAATCAGGTCTGGACGTACCTTCCTTGGATCTTCGGTGTACCTCTCCATGAACGCCGTGAATGATTGCTGAATGCCGACGAACTCTGCTGCGGCTTCGATCTTGGTCATATCCCGGTCCTGAAATTCCCGATTGAACTCCGTCAAATTGGCCGGATGAGGAGGTTCCACGATGACCTTGATCTTGACGGATCGATCTGCCCTTGTGCTCATGCTTTCTTCATCTTGATCTGTCGAGTGTCTTCTTTCCTTGGTCTCGCTGGATTGTTCTTGCTCAGATTGGTACTTGTTGCGCTTGTCGTGGGAAATGCCCTTGTCAATGTGCTCAAAAAAATGCTCTGCAAACTCCTGTGGATCTTGGATCCGCATTGCTCTCGGTCATCTTGGTCGAGGTTCTTTTTCATGATCCAGTAGCTGGTCTGCAGGGTATGTTCTGACAAAGCGGTTCGTTCTTCAGTGATTCGGATGTTGTAATCATTGTCTCGTGTAAAAGCAAGGATCGACAAAGCATCGCGTCCTTTGGGGACATGAGTCAGCGCTGCGCCTGATTCCTCGTCATCGTAGATGATGTCGTCGATGCATGCCATGTGAACATGTTGTCTTGCGCGAGGGGTGTGAGTTCTTCCTGGCACTGACAGCTTGCTGCATGATGCTCTCTATCTAACTTCCATAGGTAGCATGGAACATAAAGGTGATGGCCTTCTT